ATTATATTTTTTACTGTAATTCTTATATAGATTCCAAATTGTAAACTAAGCCCAACTAAGCTGTAAATTTAGATTCTTTTTTTCTGACAAAAGCAAAACCAGTTATATTTAGTTCACTTCAATTTAAAGCAAATTTGTTTTTACAAGCAACAACTGAGTAAGCATTTCTAGTGGAGTAATTAAATCTGTCAAGACTTCTCGCCTGTTGGGATGGTAGTGGATGTTGGTCACTTAGTCTCTGTTACCCAAAACAAAAAGCTTTTCCCACTGATGAGTTGACATTTGAAGGTCATGATTTTTTTCATTTACTCATTCATTCGCTTCATTGTCAATATGGTTCATACAACATGAACTAGTTTCTGACTAATTGTAACATATTTATTCTGAAATCAGGAAGTTTCCAAGAGTCTAATCAGTGATCACAGACGTTAGCTATAGCTGGGGCATACAGAAATGAGAGAGGAAAGGAGGGGGAATTGTGTTCAGTGATAAGAATAATTTTTTTTTAAATTTCAACTGCCATGACTCTACATCTAAGCTTCTGTAGTGTTTCCTGCAATTTACCGATACCACCCCTGCCCCCACACCAAAAAGGGAGATATGTATAAAGTTACACAAAATGAGAAATAACATCATCTAAAGTGTTTGGTCTTAGTCGTAACTCACAAGTTTTGTAAAACAAAAATGTAAATGTATGGATTTTTTGAAAATAAAACTTAAGTTAATCAAGGGTACCGCAAAGCGGAGCATCCCCTCGCAGTTTATCTTTAAATCAAGACAACATTCGACATCAGTCCCGATGCAATTTAAGTCACTTCCGTTTAACACCACTCACTAACTAACACACTCACAAACACACACACACACAAAAGCATGTTACTATATCCCCTCCAACTCCGTTGCGAGGGGATAATACTAGTAATAAGATATATAATTTACCCACTAAGGAAAATATTTGCAGCCTCAGCAACATCAAAAACAAAATTAAAAAAAAAAATAATGTAATGATATATAAGAAAAAAAATTGAAAATTTTGTCCATCATAGCAAACCGTGTTATTTTATTAAAAGAATCATGTTGACAGCATCTTGTTTGAGTCGTTTTTATAAAAAAAAAAATGAGGAACCAAATATATTTCAGCACATTCTTTTAAAGTTCCCATACTCCAGTTAAATTAATTCTATCAAAAAGTCTTCATTATTGTTTATATCAAACAGCTGCATCAGTGATACAAATACTTGTTGATAGACATTGATCAGGAAAGTACAAAGAAAGCAATAACTCAACAGAAAGGATGTACATGTAATACCAGTAATATTTTTCAAAAATGTTTTTATATTACTTATATGTAATTTCTGCTTTGAATCACATCAATAAAAATAGGCTTTTTCTTTGTTCAAATATTGGTGAAATTTATAACACAGCCCCCTCCCCAAGAAACAAACTTTAGGTAAAAACTTTAAGAGTAAATAATGCATCATTGTTTAAAATGCACAGTGTGTACTTACAAAAAAAACGAGTTGTTGAGTATATTTCAATAAATATTTTCCTTTTTATGTCTTATAATTAATCCTGGGCATTTAACTTTGATAGACTTCTAATTGACAAATACATGTAGGCTATACACCTAGATTCTGTAACATTTTCCCTAATTTAACCAGAAAAGGGAGATACATGTTTGTGTTAAATTAATACACATCAAATTAGGAGAAGAAATAGTAACCTTCAAATATCAACAAAGAGGGTAGCTTGCACTTTAATAGTACATTAATTAAAACCAAAAAAAGGTGCCCTTGTAATTCAATTGTTGTCATCAGTTCTGCAATGCAGTTGTTTACCCTCTATCTGTTTGATATTATAAAGCTGTCAACACCTCTTACTAGGTTTGTCTGTTTTGGATAGGTGAGCAGGGTCATATATCTGAGCTTAGTTTAGATGTTGTTAATGTATTACCTAGTCTTTGTTTTAAAAAACATTTCTAGGTGATTCTCTGTTTCACTTTGACATTTAAAGGTCAAATTGGCTGCACAGATTTCTTTTGTTTCTTGTTTCATTCATGTTACACAAAGCCAAAATGACATTGCAGGGGAGAGATTGTATGCAAAAGAAATTGTTTTGTTCTCAAACTGTCTGTACTGTTATGATACAGACTCCACTCCATGACTCCACAAGACTCCACTCCACTCAGCTTTTTACCCCAAGCCCTTATTTTATCCATATTCTCTTTAAAGATTGCCTGCTTGTTGCATTTATCCACTGCATATCTCGGCTGCTGTCGCCACGTTTTTAGATGTAAACAACATTCCGTGTCACCAAGTGCAAGCGCTTGGCTAAAGCCGAATGCAGCCAAACGACACCAAAAAAAAAAAAAAAAAAAACAAAAAAAACCAAAAAAAAAAAGAATTATTTCGAAGACGTTTTGTTTTTATATAAAAGAAAATCACTAATGTTTATTTATTTAAACATGAAAATACAGACATTAGTTGCAAATTCTTGTAATTATCATTAAATTTTTGAGCTCTATTTCCTTATATAGATCTATCAGAACGGAGCAACTGTCATCACGTCAAATCTCATTATGACCTCATTACCATATTATCCTCATGTGTAGCCTTAACTGTGCTGCGCTGTAAAAATTCATTAATTTAGCAACGCAAGTGCACAGAATATGATGTTAGTTGCAAAAACACATTTACTTCGATATTTTCCAAAATAGTGACCTCGGACGATAATGCCGAGCACCAAATTATCAAGCAGTACTTCTGAGCGTGATATGACTACAGTCCATAAGGGAAAAGATATGTAAACGTTGGAACGATACAAACATATATCTCGATCAGACACAGATTTGTACCAAGAGGTCGAGGATGGCTTGACTGGTTATTCGATGGAAAAAGTATTAGGTAGACCAACAAGCTGAAAAATCAGAAGCGGGACGTCATACATGGAGACGGCCGTTTAACTAAGTGAGCAGTTAGGCAAACCTATGAACTGGGTTGGGAAATTGCTTAAGCTTGTTAAAAGAATAAATTCCGCGATCTTTTGGAAACGCTAATTAATATTTGAGATGGAGAACTTGATAACTAGAGGAAAATTAAATACAGTGTCGAATTTATCCTTCAAAAGAATTCTATCAGACACATGATTCCATAATAATTCCCAAACGCCACGAATTCTGTTTTGACGTCGTCAGGGTTGCACCGACAGCTTTTTTGTAAGATTCGTTTACCTGAGAGAAAAATGTTATCTTAAGAGATATTTTATTGAAATTTTTATGCATTATTCAAAAAATGTTAGTTATGGTGTATGCCGATTTTTGATTTCATAGTATTAGTGAAACAAAAGATGTATTTCTGGGACAACCCTCGTAATTTTATTTTTCCGGTATTATAGGGATTTTAAAATATATCTGCGTGATGTTACAGTGATTTTTTTCCGGATTCGTAAGGCCCCGCATTGTCTACCTGTGGGAACAGTGCTGTGACATTTAAATGTGAAATTTTGGTCCCCTATTTCGGCTCTAACTTACCCCTTAGGGCATTCAGTTGTTAATTTTTCGTGAGATTACTTGTATATCAATATAAGTACATGTATTAAGGACAGCGTTGAAAAACTATTTTTGTCTATTTATTTCCTTTGTAAACTTTTATCCTCATGTTTATGCCTCGCCTTATCCCTGCAGACAAGGAATAGAACACACTTTGAATCTGCACTACCTGATGTTGTTTGCATATTAATATGAGGCTTTTGACTCAATCGTATTGTTATTTTTTTTTTAGTTTAAGAGGTATATTCCTTTGTTTGACTTAAATGTCTTTCATCATCCACTAATACCAAATTTGGCTGCATGATACGACAGTATACGTACAAAAAGACAATGATTTATGGACATATAAACAGAGATACAGACGACGGACAATTCGACCAGAAAAGAAAAGTTCAGTTTAAAATAAAAACACATACACACAATTTATTAATCTGTTTATTTAGAAGTGATATATTTTGAAAATGAACACTGCTTTTGCATCTTTTCTGCTATTGTAACAAAATGTTTAATACATGTATCAGTAAAGTTAAGTCTGTTCAGACAGGAACGTGTGTTGAAGAAAAACAATTGATGTGAACAAACTGACATTTAACCTACAAATGGGCAAAAATCAAAGTACTGTGTCTCTGTCAACATATAGAGATAACATATAATTCACAAAATAAATCCGTGCACTTAACTGTTATCCATGTTACACACCGCTTCAAATTCAACCTTTCAGTTTGAATTCAAGTCAAAAAAAAGTTACGTAGACAAGAGTTCTGGTGTCTAAACCTTTTCAACAAATTTCAAAGTTTGAAAAATTAAACTTGCACCCTGTTAAAAATATATATATTTCGAAAGTAAACCCTTCCAGTATTTTTTTTTACAATTTGACTTTTTAAAAAATAACAATAAAAGAGAAAAACTTTTTTTATCTACACATGATACATTATCCAGCCAGATATTTGACTAAAGATGTTAAGACACATATAAATAAATGTATTAAATTTTCTACACAGTTCTAATTTGTGCAAATTCATATCTTCTTTGTTGAAAACTTAATTCAAATAGTAAAACACCGATAAAAATACATTTCTGATCAGGTCAACAACTGAGCTATATTAAATATGATGTACATAAATATTAGCAAATTGGGATTAAGAAATAGAACAATAAGGAGACAGATAAAATGCAGATAAAATGCAGAAGTCTATCAGTTTATCAAAGATTGTGTAAGTTTTTTGAAGATGGTTTACATAATGATACAAAAGAATCACATGATTGTTTTATCTCCACTGATAAAGCATTGCAGCCAAAGTTTCATGCTAGCCGCTACAAGAAAGCAAGCAGGTAAAAATCTCATTTTATTCTCCTTTTTCACCGATCTTTTAAAGTGCATGCTTTTTTTATCTTTATATTCGATTTTTAATTATAATACTTAAAATTTACAGCTTATAAAAGCCCTGAAAATATGGACACCAGATTTTGTGCTCAGGACATCATCAGATGTGACATTTGTCAAGACAGTATTGCACTTATGTACTGTAACTTATGTCCCCTGAATCTGTGTAAGGGATGTGTAGGGGAACACATCTCTGATGTTTCTAAGAAACATGATGTGGTGCCTTTTGAGTTGAGATCCAGACTTGTGTATCCTCAGTGTCAAACACACTCTGAAGAATACTGTGAAATGCACTGTGAAGATTGCAACATTTCAGCATGTTCCAAATGTCTTATTTCTGAGAAACATACGCGACATCATTTCAGAAGTCTACAAGACTTGGTGAACTCCAAGAAGGATATCATTGAAAAAGAAAGAATGAGATTGCAAGAAAGAGTTTACTCAAAATTCGAAAACAGAATTACCGAAATAAAACACGAGCTAGGTGAAATAGAAGGAGAATATGAGAAACTTGCATCGGAGGTCACAAAACATGGGGAAGAATGGCACAGAGAAATTGACAAAGTTATACAGAAAAACAAGGAAGATATCGAGCAAATGAGAAGAAAACACAGAGAAACTCTGAACAAACACTTAAATGATATGAAGATGTTTGTTGCTGATGTCGAACAGACAATGTCCGAAATGAATGAGAATCTAAAATCAAAGGAAGTTTCTAAAACACTTTCCTATGAAATCAATCCAGATAAGTTCAAAAAACTTCCACCTAAATTGACAGTTGAGTTTCCAGTATTTACTTTAAAAAATAGCCAAAGACAATGCTTTCGGCTATTTGGTTCAATATCACCATTATCCATTTCAAAAGAAGAATATGGCTACTCAATAGAGACACCAGAAGCTGTATCCTGTCCTCCAGTCAAACAACTGCTCGACGAAGCAGAGCCCATCATCACCATAGACACTGGGTATAGACTTTACAGTGTTGCCTGTCTCAGTGATGAAGAAATCTGGACATGTGGGAATGACAAAATAATAAAACTTTACAATCTCCAGGGCAAACTACTGAAGTCAATCAAAACAAAGTCAGGAAACAAACCATTTGACATAGCAGCGACAAAAAGTGGAGATTTATTTTATATTGACCGAGGTACAAGAACCGTAAACATGGTGAAGAATAAACAGATACAGGAAGTGATCAGACTACAGGGGTGGATACCTTACAATGTCTGCAATACCTCTTCTGGTGACCTCCTAGTAACCATGAACAGTGATGATGGGGCACAAAGCAAAGCTGTCCGTTATTCTGGCTCTACAGAAAAACAAACCATTCAGTTTGATAGTAAAGGTCAACCTTTATATTCATCTGGTTTCTTCACTAAATACATCAGTGAGAATAGGAACCGGGATATCTGTGTGGCTGACTGGGGAGCTAATGCAATAGTTGTAGTCAATAAGGCAGGAAAACTGCGATTTAGATACACTGGTCACCCAACCTCGACCAAGGGATCATTCTGTCCATACAGCATCACAACAAACAGCCAGAGTCAGATCCTGACAGCAGACTTTAACAACAACTGTATCCACGTCCTAGATCAGGACGGATACTTCTTCCGTTACGTTGATAAATTAAATCTCTATCATCCGAGAGGTTTATGTGTAGACACCAAAGACAACCTTTTTGTAGCAGAGTGTTACAGTGGTAAAGTGAAGAAAATAGAATATACATAAACTATGTGTATGAATATTGAACAAAATTAAATAAATGAAGAGCAGTAAAAGCATTATGTATAGTACTTCAAAATCTAAGTAGTTTTACACCAAGCAGAAAATATATTGGTTTTACATTCAAATTAATAGAAAAATGGGAAAATGTATCAAAATTAGATATGTCAAAAATATTCAATTATACCATCCTCTTCTAATATAATAGAGGTACCTTTTTAGCCATGAGTCTACTCTGCTCTGTTTTTTGCCCAACAGATAACATAACACCGAGTTTGTCGAAAAAGAGCATTTATTATTGAAAATGCCAAAAATGTTTCCCAATCTTAGAAGTATATATGATACTCGTAAAAATTCTAAGGCACAAAATAGGACAGTAAATCTCATGTAAAATATATCTCATTACATGTACACAAAGATAAATGTGCCTAAGATATACACCGTACAAATACTGACATAGAAATAACAAATGTACAATAAGTATTGCCCATTGGACTAGTTATGGCAAAAAAAATGGGACTAATCCTTATAAAAAACGCAAACAAACATTATAAAAACACATAACATGCTTGTACAAATGAATGGGACTAGAGTAAATGTATAAAACTTGATCAATTGTATTTCAAAAATATATTTAGCCTAAGACACCAAGTACAAATGCAAGAACAGGTGGAAGATAGGGGGATGGAGGTGGGTAAAAGTTTCTACACATTCAAACAATGGCTACAGCTTCAATAAACAAATATCACGTGATCAATATGGCGGTAAAGTACAGAACCGTAATGGAAAGATTTTTGTTATTCCGGAAAAAATTGACAATGTAATTGAGATGCTATAAATTACTTTATGTTTTCACATAAATACAAATATTCATTCAATGAGTTGATAATACATGTAACTTTGGACAAGAATTTAAGATTTGGAAATGGTAGACATTTATGCCTATAATGAAAACACTGAAACGATAAAAAAATTATCTTGTACAAATGATACACATCTGTGAACAGGGCATAAAACGCAGATCCCCCAGAAATCCCAGAGGTGGGATCATGTGCCTGGGATGAGTATAGGCATCCTCACATCCGCCATGAGCCCAGTGTATTACACAGGTAGTAGGAATATTTGAATTAAGTATAAAAACAAAGGACTAACAATTGCTGTGAAACACGTCAACCAAGTGAACATACGACCTAATGATTTGTTTTATTTGCTAACAAGGTAATTATTTAGTAATGACCATAGAATTAATGAAATGCTGACATATATCGAGATTGCATCCTGTAACATAAACTTATCTGTCATTAACCTACCTTTGTTTAACATCTTATCGTATTCAAGTGTTTTCTTCCCATATAGGAGTTTTTGAATAAATTCTGCTTCAAAGGAATATAAAAATAGGTCGGCTAATAAAAGAGCACAAAAAGTGCAGATCAAAATTCCAACATTTTGGTAGAAGGCCATGTCTCTGAAGACTACATACATGTAGATGTTGTCAATGAGGAACTCCAGCATCCTTTAAATATCAGCTTCAGAGTATGTGTGTGTAGAATCAGATTGATGTTTTACCAACTAATTTTGTTTATGACCAATCATGCCGTATACAACGTGGGGGAATCGCTTAAATGTATGGGGGAGGCGTTCTCAACGTATGGGGGAGTTGGGGGAGTATATTGTCACCGCTTCGAAAACAAGAGGAATGTAGGTTACATCTTTTTTTCGGTATTTGTAAAATGCATTCACAAAACATAAATATCACATAAAAGACAGTGTTGATAAAGCTTTTCCCTTGATCATTGGTCCGGCTAACATATATGTCTACTATTCTCAAACAGTTTAAAAATGTTTGGCATATTTCAAATTCACAGCCTTTGATTGGCCAACACATTAATTATTTGCACAGTCTTTTAGACTTGCATCTGGATTCAGACAGTTCAAACAGCGACAGAAAATAATTATCATTTAAATGTAGCATTGTTTTACAATTCTTTAGAAAAATTAATATTCAGGAATTTTTCTCCTCAGAAAGATTCTGTCACGTAAAAGGGGGGGGGGGGATTACTGAACCCCCCCCCCCCAGATATCCCGGAGTCGCAAATAAAAACAAATGTTCTCTAGTTGGAAAATTTTAATTGTTTTAACCCTAAAAATGTAATAAAAACAAGTTAAGTTAATTTTGTTGTACATTTGTCAAATCTCAGTAACAGTTTTTATATAATCGTAGATACCTTTGATGACAGAAAAAATCTGCTATGTAGAGATGTTCAAGCAGCTATCTTAGGACAACACTGTATGTCGTGTCCTAGAAGGAGATTGTCTAAGCTCGAAAATTCTGTTTTGTGTGCTTGTGGATGAGAGAGAGAGAGAGAGAGAGTCCAACTTTTTTGACAAGAATTATTTAAATAACAATAACATAGGAGGATTTGACTACTTAGTATACGATACACAAAAGGGGGTAACCGGATTTTACTAAATATTTTAACACTAAAATTATTAAAAATTTTAAAATTACATGTAGGTTCAGGAAAAAAATCAGAGACCTTTATGATTCTACAATTCTAAAAGAAAAAGGAGCCACCCCCCCCCCCCCCCCCTTGCCACACATTCATACCTGCTCATCTCCAGGATGTTCACATGCATTAATAAATAAAGATATCATCTGATGCAAATCATTGAACATTGTAACATAAGTTGCAAAGAGGAAAGTTTTGGAGAACAGTAGTGTAAAAAAATATTTCTTTAACTCATTTCGGGCTATTAAGGAGACCCATAATACAAGCTCTGCAGTTAGGGAGCTAGCCCCCTCCCCTTCCTCTTCTTTTCTAAAAAATCGATTTTTTTTCTGACTACTTATTAAGTTAATTTATATTCAAAGGCAGGTAGGCTCTCCCATTTAAGATGATTTTACAATTATATCAATAACCTCATTTAAAATCAAAATTATGTAAAATCTATTGTGACCAAGTGATTCCATATATTCTAGTTAGGCGACTGTCGATCTCATTTTTGTAAACTTACTTTTTTTTTTCGATGATTTGAATCAAGTCAGTGAGATTCTAACATTTTGTAAAGGCTTTTGTCGAGCACTCTTTTGTAGTCTTATTCCTGACTGGTGTGCTCTTTAAATCAACCCAATCCAGTTGCGCAGTAGATTTGGGTATACATGTATATACACAGGTTCGATTAGAATTTCTTGTCCCGCCAGCCAGTTTCAAGGTCACGACACCTCGTGGTCGTGCTGTTCATATAGTTATTTGCTTTTGTAATACTTTTCTTTTTCATAACTTATAATGTAATTTTTCATTTTCTATCTATTTCATATTGTATTTTGTCTAATAGAATAATTTATGTATATTTTTTTCTAGACACTAATGTCATTGCCGTTTGTTTGCTGTTTAATAAAGATATAAACATGAACCTGGTGTTGTTCTTCTGTTCGGTTACATATGGCACCTGAACGACTACAAACTACGGGGGTCATCGGGGGAAATCTTTTTGAAGCGACGACAAACTACGACGGACGATAGGGGAAACCATTCCATGCGACGACGACCAAGATGGCTGGCGGTGTAAAAGGGCGTCGATGTATGAACTGAACTTTATTTTTTTTTCAAAATTGGACGGTTAAGTTATCGCTTACATTTGACATTTATTTATAGAAAATAAGTTTAATTGTTGAGAAGGTGTTATTTCAGATAAGTTTTTTTTTTTTTCAAATTTATTTATTTATTTATTTCTATTTTTTTGGAAATTAGTAATTGTAAAATTATGAACAAAATGAATTAGAGGGAATTACAAAAACGTGTTCATAAGCTTGAACAGGAGTTACTGGAATGTGATTCAAAACGTGATGTTCCCCACTTTGTGAACCAAAGATCGAAAAATTCAAAATTTTAATGGAAATAATGTACCAGTTGATGATTGGATCGACGAGTTAGTGTCTGTGTTCCGTTCTATGCATATGTCCACTGCTGAAAAATGTGATCTTATTTATTCGCATCTTGAGGGTGAAGCTAAGAATGAAATCAAATTTCGCTTGGATAATCGCTCAGAGCCAAATGAAATGTTGGAATGCTTACGTAAAGCCGTCGATGATAGGGAATCCATTTCCGTACTACAGAAAAATTTCCTTGTTTGCAAACAAGGAGAAAACGAGTCTATCCGAAAATATTCCAATACATTAATTGATTTATTCCAAAGGATTATTCGCAAGGATTCATCGGTTTTCAGATACAAGAAACACACGTTATGTGAATCTACGAGATATGCACATCAGGAGAGAAATAAGGAAAATAGTATGTAAATCAGAAGATTATGATTTCTACGCATTACGGAAGGAAGCCATATTAATGAGCGAAGAAGGTGTAAAAAAAAAAATGCCTAATTCGGAATAATAACAAAAAAAAACAACAAAAAAACAAAAAAAAAAAAACAAAAAACAAAAAAAAAAAAAAAAAACACAAAAAAAAAAAAAAAACTGAAAGTGAAGATTCACCTTCGTTCAACAAGCTTAGGTCTGCTATTGAATAACAACAAAAACAAATAAACCAACTCACAGATATTTTGAAAAACCCTCCTACGATTACACAAAATAAATTCACTGATGGATACAGAAAATGTTTCAATTGTCAGGAATTCGGTCATATTTCACGGAACACAGCAGTAAAACTTAGCCCCACTATCGACCGGAGTCCGACAGTAGACAGGAATACAAAGGACTCTCCTGGTATTTCACGCATGATTGAAGCATGTCCGGTGATTAATATAAAAATACAAAATGTGAGCATTCCTTGTTTAGTTGATAACGGATCTAATGTGTCAACAATAACAGAAAGTTTCTATAGAGAATATTTGGAAAAACCTGGAAAATCTGTGTTTTCGTGTAAAATTCAACTTAAAGCAGCTAAATACCGCTCTGGAAAACATAACACAAATGCTGATGTACTATCGAGATTACAGTGTTCTGAAATATTGTGCGATGTCACAGGATCATCTTCAATTCCGAGTGATTTGAATC